CCCCCCCCGCTGCACGCCCATGGAACATAGGAATTTAACATTGTGACATACGCATTGGGGATGAGTCTTTCCCCTACGAGTGCGTATGTACTTTGTGCACGCCGCCTTAGTATTTTATATAGATCGTGATTGAAACAAATATATATCATATATTAATGTTCGTGATATAATTAAAAATAGAAATCAATGGCCGATACGTACGACTCATTAAACGCATTGAAATACCTGAACGCAGTCGTCAACGAAACCATACGACTATATCAAGGCTCCAAAATGGAGAGGATTCCCTCCGTGGACTACGTGCTTAAAGGCACCGGTATTACCATCAAAAAGGGTCACGTGGTGCAAATCCCAACGTTCGCCATGCATAGAGACCCGGCTAATTTTGCCGATCCGGACACTTTTCGACCGGAAAGGTTTCTACCGGAAAATATTGCTCACAATCCTTATACGTATTTGCCGTTTGGGGTCGGCCCCCGAAACTGTATTGGCATGTATATGGTTAAGTGGATGGTCAAATTGGCCCTGGTCAGTCTGGTTCAGCGATACGTTTTTTACCCTACAGAGGTTATTTATTGATTTATATTATAAATTGATTTTTGAAATGAAAATTTAATATAGTGATTTTGTAGTAGTAATTGGACTATTTATTTATAGAAACCTGTTGAGTTTTATGTGGTCAATGGTGGACTCATGCCGAAATCTGTTTTCTTAAAAATTGGTAAACGTGGTTACTAATTGGAGGTTACTATAACAACTTAATTTATATATATCATTCAATTTAAATTACAAACAATGGTTTATATTTTATTTAAGAAATATTCAAGATATTCGACAATAAATGTTCACTTTTAGAATTTTAGAAGCTTAAAATTTTGTATTATATTAATCTAGAAATTAATAAATAAAACATTTAACAAAATATATTTTTACTTTATTCATTAAAATCTTTTTGTTCAATGATAATTTTGTAAATATGGTTTCTTCATTTAAGGCTTTAGTATAAAAATTATAAAATAATAAATATAAATTATAATATTAGATAGTTGTGCATTGTCGCATTAAACCATTGTTGAATTATTTTCAAGTGAATATAAATTATGTGACGTTAATTAGTAAAATTTGACCATTTGAGCAAATTTCTATTATAAAGGGTAGCATGAAGTTTTGGGCTTTCAAAGCTCCATTCCCCATAGAGTAACCATAATTATTATCAATATATTAAAACATAGTAATCTTATTGTTACTACGTAAATAATACTATTTTAAATTGTAACCGTAATTATTAAAACATATTACGACATAGTATTTATGTATTTGTTTATCAGTGTGGGTGCAGCACCTCCTATGGGATGGACTCGATCACTGTTTGTGTCGGACTTTCCGACATAAGCCGATATAAGCGACAAACATATAAACCAAAGCCCAGGCC